TAGAAGCGAGGATATGAGACATTGTCTCTGGTACTTTGGATGTGTTGTCAGGAGGGATCAGTCACTGGTGAAAGCACTTCATGTTTGTTAAAGTGGAGAATCAATGAAAAATAGGGAGACCCCCCAACAAGATGGATTGACACAATGTTATCTACAAAAGTCTTATAACATAGATGAACCTCGAGGACATTGTGCTAAGTGAAATTAGTCAATCACAAAAGGATTGAGATCATTGTAAAAAGTCAAGAGAAGTGTTTCACACTAAAGAGACATTTTTTTTATGGTTAACAGGTTGAAGAGGAGGGAAGGTAAATTACTGGCTAGAAAGTAGTCATATGTTAATTTGGTTAAAAGGGAAGGCAATATACAGTAAGAAAGAGGTCAGTAAAAAATTATGGAGACAGAAAAAGACACTGGGAGTAGTGCAAGAGTTCAAGGCAGTAGAGGTATATATTGTTATAGCCACAATCTTGCGTTAACGATGATCTACAAGGAGATGCAGGCTGAACAGTTCTAGGAGGAAGAGTGGGACTATACCCATGAATAAATATAGGTTTGACAGATGATATTTCTACATGTACATTTACCTATACTGCAAATATATCCATAAATGTGATGGAGAATGTTGTTGTTGTTGTTAAGTGTTTTCGAGTCAATTCTGACTCATAAAGATCCTGTATAGGGTTTCTGAAGAGTTTGAACCACTGACCTTGCATATCAAACCAACCTTTTGGTCCAGTGCATATCCTATAGGGCCACACCAGGAATATGTTGTTGTTGTTAAGTGCCATCGAGTCGATTCCGACCCATAGCGATGTATAGGGTTTCCAAGGAGCAGCTGGTGAGCTTGAACCACAGACCTTGCAGTTCAAATGACTTTGCAGTCTGATGCATTAGTCCAGAGCACCACACCATGACTCCTCACCAGGAGTATACAGGGGGAAAGAAAGAAGAGTCAGGAGTGGATCACAACCAGAGATCCCTGTGCTGAATCTCCTTGCCCCAAGAAACATAGGGATGTGATCCCAGAGACGGTGTGAAGTGGCCAGAAGCAGTGGCAGCAGAGGCAGTAGACCAGTAGGAGACAAAGTGGTGAGCTTCCTGGCCTATTGAACAAGAAAGCTTTGGGCAGGAGGCTTGCAGGCAGAGTGGAGTGCCTTTTGAGCATTGAACAGAAGGGACAAAAGAACTTCATAACACTTTCCAGAGCATGTCAGATGTCAAGTGGCCATGTAGCTGAGAGACTGGGCCAGAGAGGTATGCCTGTGAGCATGGCTAAGAGGAGGGTGTCCTGATGGAAGAACTGTATCCTGAGCACTCATGAACCTGAATTATATCCTGTTAGTTCCTATAATATGAGGGGGCTTCAAACAGTTTATAGAAAAATGCAATTCAAAGATAATGGAATTCTTCCACAAAAATTTTTGAAGCCCCCTCATAAGCCCCGTAACTGTGAAAACAAAACCCAAAACACTCCATAATCCCTTTTCAATCTGTTTAAAAGTTAAGCAGTCAACATAAATGGTGCTAAGAATCTCCCATTATGCCAACATTATAAAGAACCTTTAGGTTGCTTGTTTGCCAGTTAATTTTTCATTAAAACACTTTTCTGATTCTTGTATGTTTAATAAGGAGCCCTGGTGGCACAGTAGGATAAGCACTGGACTGCTAACCACATTTATCATGGTTCCAGAATAGCTTTCACTTAACTTTTTTTTTTTTCAGTAAGGATGGTGGTGGTGACGGTGGTGGTGGTGTGCCAGGGAGTCGGTTCCAACTCACAGAGACCCTGCATAGGGTTTCTGAGGATGTAAATCTTTATAAGAGCAGAAAGCCTAATCTTTCTCCTGTGAAACTGCTGGTAGTTTCAAATTGCTGACCGTGAGATTAGCAGCTCGACTTGTGACCACTATGCTACCAGAACTCCTTTTTACTAAGGATTGTTGTTGTTGTTAAATGCCTTCAAGATGGTTCCGACCCATAGCGACCCTGTATAGGATTTCTGAGGAGCAGCTGGTGAGCTTGAACTACCGACCTTGCAGTTCAAATGGCTTTGCAGTCTGGTGCATGAGCCCTCAGAGCCACACCAGGATGGTGGTGGTGGTGGTGGTTATGTGCTGTGGAGTCGTTCTGACTCATATATCTATATATGAGTACCTGTACAGGGCTCCCGAGGCTTGGCTGTAAGTCTTTATGGGAGCAGAAAGCCTCACCTTTCTCCTGCAGAACAGTTGGTAGTTTTGAACTGCTGACCTTGAGGTTCGCAGCCTGATTCGTAACCACTAAGCTACCAGACCTCCTTTTTACTAAGGATTATTGTTGTTGTTAAGTGTCTTCAAGTCGGTTCTGATCCATAGAGACCCTGTTTAGAGTTTCTGAGGAGCAGCTGGTGAGTTTGAACCACCGACCTTGCAATTCACACGGCTTTGCAGTCTGGCGCATTAACCCACAGTGCCACACCAGGACTGTGTCATATCAGTATCCAAGAGAAGGTCCAGAGGCCGCTCCAGCCAAGTATGGACAGTGGTAGAGTCCAAATGTTAGTTATGACATTTTTTGCATAACCGCCATTGAGTCAATTCTGACTTACACTAACCCTATGTACAGAGAGTCATCAAAACTGCAAATCTTTATGGAAGCAGACAACTTCACTTTCTCTCTTGGAGTGATTGGAAGTAAACAGCCTAATGTGTAACCCACAGCATCACCAGGGATCCTTTTTATTCTATATTGCTGTTGTTAAGTGCTATCCAGTTCTTTCCAACTCAGAGCAAACCTGTTTGAGGAGCAGCTGGTGAGTTTGAATTGCTAACCTTGTGGTTAACAGTCCAGAGCTAATCCTGCAACACCACACCAGGAGTCCTTATTTGATTGCATAGTAAAGTGCATTCGGGTATGCTTCTTGCTCTTAAGTGCCGTCGTCTAGGTCTAGTTGGTTCCAACTCATAGCGACCCTGTATAGGGTTTCCAAGGAGCAGCTGGTGAGTTTGAACTCTCAACCTTACTGTTCAAATCGACCTTGGGGTCCAGTGCTTTATCCTACAGTGACACACCAGTGTGTTGTTGTTGTTGTTACATGCCGTCAAGTTGATTCTGACCCATAGCGACCCTGTAAAAAGGTTCCAAGGGCTGGTGAGCTTGAACCACCGACCTTACAGTTCAAATGATTTTGCAGTCTGGCACATTAGTCCACAGTGCCACATCAAGACTCCCAAACCAGTGTATGTTACTGTTGTTGTTAAGTGCCGTCAAGTCGATTCCAACCCACAGGGACCCTGTATAGGGTTTTCAAGGAGCAGCTGGTGAGCTTGAACAGCTGACCTGACAGTTCAAACAGCTTTGCAGTCTGGCGCATAACCCACAGCACCACACCAGGAATCCTAGAACACCAGCAGTAGATAATAAATACTTAATAAATAGATGAAGAGCTTTGGAATTTTCTTATAGAATTTAGTATTTTCTCATAGAGTATTTACATATTGTTGCTAGTACTTTGAAAGTTTCACTTCAAATTTCAAATTTATAATATTTATTATGGCATCATCTTTTTATATTCTTGGAAACCTACATAGGGTCTCTATGGGTCGGAACCTACTCAATGGCACTGAACAACAACAACAACAAAGTGTTAATCAGTATAGAGCTATTGGGAAGTTAGAGGTAGATACTACAGTGAACAAGAACTGGTCCCTGCCTTGTAAGGAACTGATGATCTGTTGGGGAGGAAGACCTGTGCAAGTATAATACAAGGAAGTGGCTAATCCGGTTTCTTTTTGATGGGCAAGCATTTTGCAAGGACTTGGGCTATAAATGTGCTGTGCTAAAATAGCTAGTTAATTAAGTTTAAAAAAAAATAATAATTTCATGGAGTTAGGAGCTAAGCGGGATGGGATAATAAAATTGGTAATCATAACTTTCCATATAGCAAAGCCACATTATTTTCCATGTTTTAATGGGGTTTGTAGTTAAATCTCATAGCCCAAGAGATTTACCACTTCAGATAAATTTCAAACATTTACAGCCAAATCTGCAAAAGACTTCCAATTATCCAGTACTTGAATCAAAAGTTGGCCTGGCAACTTTTCTGAAACAAAAAGAAAATATTATTTCCTTAGATGTGGCAGCAAAATTCAGTTACATTTCTTTACTATCAACTCAAGAATATCTTTTGGAAAGTTAATGTTTGTTGTTAAACTGTATTTATGAATTGTTGTTGTTGTTGTTATGTGCCGTGGAGTCGGTTCCTACTCATAGCGACCCTGCACAGGGTTTCCGAGGCTGTAAATCTTTATGCGAGCAGAAAGTCTCATCTTTCTCCCGCTGAACAGCTGGTAGTTTCGAACTGCTGACCTTGGGGTTCACAGCCCGATTTGTAACCACTATGTTCTCTGTCTTTTTGAAAATGACTCATGAAAGGACCTTTCTCTTTTCCTTGTAAAACATTAGTTTCTATTTTAGAATTGCAAATATATTTTCTTAATGAAAAAATAAATAAATAAACATGACACACTAATTACTTATCCACTTAAAAAAACAACAAAACTAACATATAATTTACCATTGTCTCTCCTATTCCCCTCCCTCTTTTCCACGGATTCAGAAAGCCTAGTTCTGCAATGAGTATGACCTTATATAATTCGAGAAAAGGTATCCTTTTGGGGTTGAAAATCAACTCCTAAAATTAAATAAATATATAAAAGCCTGAATTTGATTGCCTTGGTGTCTCTCCCCTTGAGAGCAAAGAGAGTAGTTTCAGTTCTGAGAGGGTTAATACTGGGACTTGGCTGGGTGTCAATGAACATTTTTTCCCCTGACTCTGCCTCGGGTTTCCCCTTGAAGGGATTTCCCTCCGCCTCTGTAACAAGACCCTTTATAAAGTGCCCACTTTCTATTTCACCCCTCACTGAGCCTCACTGGCTAGCAGTTGGAGACTCTTTCCAGGCAGTTTCAGAAAGACGAGTTTTTGAATCTTTATTTTCTCACCAGAGCAGCAATTTAAAATGTTTGGGAAGATGGTCGTGATCTTTGGAGTTACAAATATACTTTGGATGGTGTTTGCAGCTTGTAAGTGTTTCTCCTTGATTTGTTTCAAATGTTAACAGTCTGTTTTAGTCCTGGTTTGGACTATGGTAATGAAGAAATACACTAACTAGGGCTTTTAAACAGTAGGAAAAATTAGCTTAAGTTTAACCTAAATTTAAATGGGTTACTACTGAGTTTTGCCACACACCATTATATTGTCTAAGTAGGAGTTGCAAATCCCTGCTTTTTGATAACTTTTTTTTAAACCTATTACTGTAAAAAAAAGCTAACATAGTTTGCTTATAAAAAATCTCCTGGGGAGAGTGAGCTGTTGGTAAATGAAGTAGAAGGCTGTGTTATTTGCACAAAAATAGTTTGTTTCCTGTTATTGGTTGTGAGATCAAATTTAGCAAATAGTAAAACAACTCAAATAAATGGCTATCAAGACCGGAACTGAGAGTTCTAAGTAAAGATAATTCCAACACCTTCTCTGGCAAAGATATCAATGCCTTTTGGCTGCCTTGCAGTTAGTTTGAATCATTTTAGCAACGACAACAGCCAGATTGTAGTTTGGACATTATGCTAGGACAGAGAAGAGGGAGCAGAATACTAAATAAACTAGAGGTAAATTTGCTTTTTCTCTTTTTCTCCTGGGTAGCTCAAGCTTTTAAGATCAAGATCTCTCCTGAAGACAGAATTTTTGCTCAAATTGGTGACTCAATCTCACTGACTTGTAGCACGGAGGGCTGTGACTCCCCAGCTTTCTCTTGGAGAACCCAGATAGACAGTCCGCTGAGTGGGAAGGTGAGGAATGAGGGAACCAAGTCCACCCTGACCATGGATCCGGTTAGTTTTGAAAACGAGCATTCTTACTTGTGCACAGCTACCTGTGGATCTGGGAAAAAGGAAAAAGGAATTAAGGTGGAAATCTACTGTGAGTACTTCAGAAAATCTTTCATTTTCTCTTAATTTTGCTTAAGATATATTTTATTGAAAGGAGATATTTATGTTCAGATTTTTGGCGAGACAGTTAAGGCTACCGGTAGATCAGGATCCCAAATCTTGGGTTCCAGCTCCAACTTAGTCACAAACATGGTGATCAGGAGTAAGATTCAACCTCTGAGTTTTCTTATCTATGAAATAGAGTTTTTAGGGTTCTCTTTATTAAAATATATAAATAAATAAATAAAATAACGTATTTCAATTCGATTATATACTCAGACATGCATACTCAGTCATGCGTTTTAAGTGAATTATGAATCTCATCCTTTAGGTGTTTTCCATTTATTTTTATGCAATTTGGAGTTTAAAACCAGTTTAAATATTAAGTAGAAGATTTATATTAGTTTTCTGCTTGCTGTTGTTATTGTTAAGTGCCACTGAGTCAATTCTGATTCATAGTGACCCTGTATAGGATTTCTGAGGAGCGGCTGGTGGGTTTGAACCACTGATCTTATAGTTAGTAGTCCAGTGCTTATCTACAGCACCACTCCAGGGCTCTTTCCCTTAGATATGAGAAAAATATCTGCAAACAATTTACTCATTTGAATTTGATGTAAAGTTCAGATTTTGTTTTCTTTTGGTGACAGTAAGCCTTGATGTTCAACCTCATGAATATTTATATAATGAATTAGATTTGCCTTGTAAATGAATACCCCTAGTTCTGGTATGGGACTGCAGGATAAGCACTGGATTGCGAACTGCAAAGTTGCCAGTTGTTCCTTGGAAACCCTATACAGGGTTGCTATGAGTCAGAAGTAACTTGATAGCATTTAAAAGTAATAACAAAGTTTAACCTAATTTGGTAGTTTAAGCTCCCAAAACATACCCTGGTCCCAATTCAGTTCGGCAAAGTTAACCAAAGTTAATGACTCTTCAGCAAGTCCCATGTGTTGCTAATGGTTAGCAAGAAACTGCCTCTGCGTTGGCTGCTTTCAATTACGCTAGTCCTTCAAGTATGCTGCACACAGTTTATATCTGTGCAGCCTCCTAAGCTTCTGGAAAGATCCCCTTATGTAAATATAGGGAACTTATATTATCTGACATTGAACTATATAGATTATTGGAACATTTCTTATAGCATATGAGGGTCAGAAATTATTAGTGAAAAAAATGAAAAATACTGTGGTTTTGGATTTTTGTGTTAAAAATTTTTTTTAAAGTAATATTAGCTTTTGTAGTTCTTTCACCTTTGCCCACAAATACCAAAAAAAGTTCAAGTTGTAAAAAGGAAAAGACTCTTCTGGTTTTAATTATCTTGCTGAAATTTTTCTCCAAGAATGTCTGTCTCTCATTATGTTTAATAGCCCTGCTTCCACTCCACGTTGGATTGCCTTATTCTTTAGAACTGGTGCCTTTGTATTCTTCTCAGTACATAAGGGCTCTGAATCCAACTCCTGTGTTACCATCATATTGCATAGGAAGCAATGGCTGACCAAAACAGACTTTGTTGTTAAGTGCCTTTGAGTCGGTTCCGACCCATAGCAACCCTGTACAGGGTTTCCGAGGGTGTAAATCCTTACGGGAGTAGAAAGCCTCATCTTTCTCCCGCGGAGTGACTGATAGTTTCGAACCGCTGACCTTATGGTTCGCAGCCCGATTCGTAACCACTACGCAAACAGACTAGGAACTATAAGATTCAAAAAGATCAGTGGTTGGGACATTGGATTAACATTTCAGGAGGCAAACCTGCCTTCTAGAATTTAAGATTGCTCAACTGTTCCTTTCTGTTGGATGAATTCCTGTCGGATGCACCAGTATCAGAAGCCAATTATTTGAAGTCATTCTTTTCATTTCTTAGCATGTCTTACCTAATAACTATTTGCAATGGCATTCTGAGTCTCTAAATCCTTATCTGTAAAATGGAAATATATCTGCTTTGATAAAAACAAGAGAATGCAATAATATAAAATGAATCTGCAATAGTAATCCAAATAATAGCAAACCTAAATTTAAATCCCACCTTTACTTAGCTGCATGACCTTAGTCAAGTTACGTAAATGTGCTAAATTTCTGTTTTCTTATCTGTAAAACGTGGCTTCAATCTCTTGGGATTATTGTGAGGGTTAAATGAAATCATTTATGCTAAAAGTGACTGACCTATATAAATATTTAATAAACATTCCTATTTTGTCTCTTGTTTTATTCCAGTAACGTACATCCCTTAACACACACAGGAGTAAATAAAAAAAGCCAAGCCAGTTGCTGTTGTTAAGTCAATGCTGACTCATGGCAACCCCAATTGCAGAATAGAGCTGTGCTCTTAGAAGCAGACCTCCAGGCTTTGCTTCTGAGGCACCTATTGGGATCAAACCACTAATATTTTGGTTAGTCGTCAGTTGCTTGACCATTTGTGCAACTCAGGAAACCAATAAATATATATACAGGAACATTGTTATTGTTGTTAAGTCAAGTCATTTCCGACCCATAGCAACCCTGTATAGAGTTTCCAAGGAGCAACTGGTGAACTTGAACCACTGACCTTGCGGATCAAACCAACTTTGCAGTCCAGCACATTAACCCACAGCACCACACCAGGACTCCCATACAGAAATAGAGCTCTCCAAAAGATGACTGATTTTGATACTTGTTTCTTGAGCCCATCCTAATCCATGGAAGGATATTTAAACAGTGGATTTTGCTGTATTTAAATTGTAGTAACCAAAGTATTAGATTCAATTTGTTTTACATTAAAACAGTAAGGAATCTCATATAGCATGAGCAAAAAAGACCCCTCTCATATTTACTTGTTTGACTTTTGCAGCTTTCCCTAATGATCCAGAGATCCATTTGAGTGGCCCACTGGAGGTGGGAAAGCCAGTCAGAGTTACATGCTCTGTCCCTGATGTTTACCCATATGATAGGCTGGAGATGACTTTAATGAAGGACAACCATCTCCTGAAGAATCAGGAGTTTCTGGAGGACCTAGATAAGAAGTCCCTGGAAACGAAGAGTTTAGAAGTGACCTTTACTCCTGTCATTGAGGATACTGGAAAAGCCCTTGTTTGTCAAGCTGAATTACACATTGATGAAACTGTTTCTGTGCTCACAGAAAGAAAGACCACAAAAGAACTGCAAGTCTACAGTAAGTACTTGTATATATAGACTAGATAGGAATTTAGATTCAGGTGAGTAGCACCTGAACTTAGCAACTAAATGCAAGGAAAAAATGTATAGTTTTTACTTCACTTTTATTCATTGTGAACATAATGTTTGTTATATGCGTAATTCAATGAAAAAAGCACCTGATTTGGATTGAGAAGACAACTTAAGTTCTGGCTCCATGAACTGAGTGAACTTGCTTAATTTCTATATTTCCCAGTCTATGGAGGTGGTGGTTGTGTGCCGTGGAGTTGGTCCTGACTCATAGTGACCCTGTATAGGGTTTCCAAGGAGCTGCTGGTGCAAGTCCAAACCAATCTAGAAGTCTAGCGAGAACTAATAATATTACCTGATTAGACTGAGTAAACAGGCTCAAACAAGAACACATTTTAAATCATGTTTTATAAATTCTCATAAAATGCCTTGAAATATTAGCTGCACGTTTACAGAGCTTCGAGAAGGTAAGCACTCACTCTGTGTGAGTGTGTGTGTACGTGCTCATGTGCACACATGACCACGGTGTATCTGGGCAGGAGGCAGGTGATACGGTTTGAGTACCCTCATGCTCCATGAGGTTGCGAGGGGGTTTAAGACAGTCTTGTAGTCCCACAAGTGAACTCACTGTGCTCTGTTCTAGTCTAAAACTCTGTGCTTTGCATTGGGGTTTTAACTAGTATCACTAACTACAAGGAGTCCTGGTGATATCATGAGTTAAGCATTGGGCTGCTAACCAAAAGGCCAGTGGTTCAAACCCACCAGAGAAAGATGAAGCTGTCTTTATATCTGTAAAAATTTATAGCCTAAGAAACCCTATGGAACAGTTCTACTCTGTCTTATAAGATGGCTAGAGTTGGAACCAACTTGAACAGCATGATTTTGAGAAGAAAAGTCAAGGGGGGTGGATACTTTTCCCTAGAGAAGACAATGCTTGCAAAAGATCTATAAATTAGGAATTTTAAAGACAGTCATATGAAAGAAGAATTTAATTTATCCCATGTAACAGCAGAGAGCTGAGCTATGATCAGTGTATAATAGTTAGTTGCAAAGAGGAAGGTTTCACTCAATGGAAAGAAAATGCTCTAATAACTTGTTTTTAAGTGCCGTCATGTCGGTTCTAAAGCATAGTGACCCTGTATAGGGTTTCTGACATGGCTGGTGAGCTTGAGCCTCTGGCTTTGCAATTCAAACCAACTGGCATTTCAGCATATTAACCTGCAGCACTACACCAGGATAAGAGCTGTCTAAAATGCCAAAGTGTCTGCTTGTTCGGGCTCTGTGTTGTCACTCTGTCAGTATTGAAGCTGACTTGGATGAGCACTTGGCAAGGATGCTTACATGGGAATTGTACCTTAGATGGGAGATTGAACTAGGCGATTTTAAAGGCCCTTCTTAATTTCTGAATCTATGAAAACACCAAGCATCAAAAAACATAAATAAAGTTAGTCCAAAATGGAATTGACTAGTTTTTAATGATTCAGCAGTTCTTTATGTTAATTTGGCAGCATAAATTCATCAAATTGTTGGAAGCACATAAAGACAGACTTTGAAAAAAATAGACTGTCCCTATTAGATTAAAATGCTACTTAGCGGTGACTGACATTGTGCCTTACCCTTTCAGTCTCACCCAAGAATACAGCTATCTCTGTGAGCCCCTCCACAAGTCTGCAAGAAGGTGACTCTGTGACCATGATGTGTTCCAGTGATGGCCTGCCAGTTCCAGAGATTTTCTGGAGCAAGGAGTTAGATAATGGGGATCTACAACGCCTTTCTGGAAATGCAACTCTCACTTTAATTGCCATGAGGATGGAAGATTCTGGAATTTATGTGTGTGAAGGAGTTAATCCAATTGGGAATAGTAGAAAAGAAGTGGAATTAATTGTTCAAGGTAAGTAGAATGTGTAAAAGGAAAAGAAAAACTACTGTCATTGGCATTAGAGCAATAGTGAAATGGCTTCAATGTGGACACAGATTCCTTATGAGTCAGCTTTTCTGATTCTTTTCCATCTCCTGTTATTTCTTCCCTACCTCATACCATGGTTTATGCTCTTATGCCAGCCCCTTGTTATACTGGTATTCTCAACTCCCTACCCCCTAAAACCAATTTGAGCTATCGTATGCTGTTGTTGTTGTTGTTGTTAAGTGCCATTGAGTTGATTCCTACCCATAGCAACCCTGTATAGGGTTTCCAAGGAGCCGCTGGTAAGCTTGAACACCAACCTTGCAGTTTATAACTCCCAAATTCATACTCCTATTGTTGTTGTTGTTATGTGCTGTGGAGTCGGTTCTGACTCCTAGTGACCTTGTACAGGATTTCTGAGGCTGTAAATCTTTACGGGAGCAGAACGCCTCATCTTTCTCCCACAGAATGGCTGGTAGTTTCCAACTGCTGACCTTGAGGTTCACAGCCCGATTCGTAACCTCTATGCTACCAGAGCTTCTTATTACAAATGGTCAAATCACACCTCAGAATGATTCCTAAAATTTGTTTCTTCAGTTCTGCCACTGCCTAATTTATCATCTCTCACTTGGATTCTTACAAGATATTCTTAAATGGCATTTATTGAACACTAACTATGTTCCTGGGAGAAAGATGAGGCACCTAACAACAACAAGTACTTATGTATGCATATGTTACCTGTAATCTACAATAAATAACTAAATATAAGTATTTTATATCCATCTTATAGATAAGAGAATGGTGTCTCACAGAGAGATTAATACTGATGTTAATAATACTGTATACCTAATATTGGAGTCCTGAATTGGTACTGTGGGTTAATGTGCTGAAATGCAAAGTTGGTTTGAACAGCAAGATTGTGGTTCAAGTTCACCAACTGCTCCTCGGAAACCCTATATGGGTCAGAACTGACTCAATGGCATTTAACAATAACAACACACATAGTGTTTGCCAGGAGTCCTGGTAAGGCACTGCAGGATAATGCACTGGACTGCACGATTGGTTTGAACCACAAGGTCAGTGCTTCAAACCCACCAGCCACTCCTTGGAAACCCTATACAAGGTCACTATGAGCCAGAACCAACTTGATGGCACTTGACAACAATAACAATATTTGCCATGTATTTTATTTTATTAATATTCACCACAGCCACATGAGGTGGTTAAAAACTGAGAAGCGTAGTTCATAATTTTTATAGGTTAAAATAAGCCATTAGTAGCATACTATGATTTCACCACAAGCCTATTACAAAACCACATGCCATTTCAACTCCAGCTAATCATCTTCAAATTAACAGATCTTCTGTATCATTCCATCCCCCAAAAGAATCAATCCTATATAGTACTACCAGAATTATGGGCCTTTAAAAAAAAGGTGTTCATTTTATATGACGGCGATTGAAGCACTAATTGTATATAAATTTAAATGAACATTTCTTAAAATAGTCACATAAAGTCTTCCCAATTTGATCAGTTTCACTGGTGACCCTGTGCCTCAATGCATGCTGTTCTTTCTGTGTGGAATGCCCTTTTCCCTTCCTTCTTCTGGTGGTCTTCCCCATGCTACAAGATAGAACAAAACTCATACTAGCCTATCAATCCCAGCCTCTCTCAGGCAAAGTTAGTCATTTCTCCGTTGGTATTCGCTCAAGTCTTCTTAAAGATGTCTACACACCTGTTTGTCTCAACACAGTTAAATGTTTTTGTCTAAAAATCAAAGAAGTGCGCTTTGTGCTGGGAATCATAAATAAAATCATAATGACTGCTCTGGGGAGGAGTGAAAGCCAGGCATATAAATAGTTAACTTGAAATATTTTAGTAAGTGGCAGAAATAGCCTGTTTTGTTTGTTTAATTGTGGTTTGGGTGAAAATTTACTGAGCAAATTAGTTTTCCATTTAACAGTTTGCACACATTTTGTTTTATAACATTAGTTGCAATTTCCTCAATGTAACAGAACTCTTTCTGCAGCCTCCCTAGTTTCCTTGTTTCTATCCACCCTTCTTTCCTGCCCCTTCTTGCCTTCTGAGCTTTATTTTTTAACAAATGCTGCCCTTTTGGGGATCTTATGATTATTCATACTCGCATTCCAAGTTGCCAAATCCTGTCATTGAATATTCTGAGGAGTATGTTTCCCTTGAGGGTTATTATTCACTTTACAGTCCTGTTTGTTGTTTCCCTGCTAAGTGATTCCTAAGGGTGAGTTCTCTTCTTGGTTTGAATAGGTCTATGGGCCACTTTCTCAGGGGTTCCACCTATCTCTATTAGACCAGTAAGCCTCATCTTTTTATAAATTTTGTTCTTTATTTTTTATCCCATTCTGTCCAGGACCTTCTATGGCTCTGATTAGAGTGGTCAGCAGTGCTAGTCAGGCACCATCTAGTTCTTTTGGTCTCAGGGTAGTGGAGTCTGTGGTTTGAATGGTCTATTCATTTTTTGGACTAGTAGTTTCCTTGAGTCTTGATTTTCTCCACTCTTCTTTACCCAGGCAGGGAGAGAACACTAGCTGCTTCTCAGATGACTGTTCATTAGCTTTTAAGGCTCAGTTGCATTTACCACAGCAAGATGTAGAACATTGTCTTTGTCGACTATATTATGCCCATTGACTTAGCTGTGTCCTGAGGCTTTTGGCCCCAAGCACTCAAACTCAGTGATTCACTCCCACAAGGTATATGATCATGGCTTAAAAGTTTTCATAACTTCGCCCCCTGTTTGCCTTGCCTAATGTATACATGGATATATATACAACACATATAAATTCATATACAAACAAATCCTCTGCAAAACCTTTATTGTCATGGGTATAGACCCATCTACCTATCTACAGTTTACTTGCCGGCCTGTGTGTCCAATCATAGATTATTGTCTGTTATTACTGTTATTGCAGGATTATGTTACAGTATTTACCTTTGTTGTCTGTAACTCTTATAAATGTAGTTTCCATTAAACACTAAGATCCTTAAAATCAGGATCTCTGTCTTTCTATTTCTGTCTCAGTATCTGTGTGTTAATGTTTAGGTGCCTGGTCCAGTGCCTGACCCATACTAGGCACTGAATGAATGTTTGCTGAATAAAGATATTGCAAACATGGGCAACACAGTTTTTTTAAATGGATGTTTTAAGTTTTAAAAATTTTAACACAGAACTAAACTTGGATAGCTATTAAAATAAAATGAAATTCAAGCTTACTATTAGAAATTAACTCAATTTAATATTCCCAAGAGACTGGAAAAGATATTAGACTAGTAAAAGCAAGTAGAGCTAATCAACCCTGAAATAACTGCATTCCTTAACACATTGTCTGCCATTTCATTGTTATTGTTGCTGAGTGCTTTCCAGTCGGTTGAAGCTAATAGTAATCCTGAATAGGATTTCCAAGGAGCAGATGGTAGGTTTGAACCACCAACTTTGCAGTTACTAGTTCAGTGCTTATCCTACAATGCCACACTAGGACAGCATTGTTGTTGTTGTTGTTAAGTGCCGTCAAGTTGACTCCAACCCATAGTGACCCTATATAGGGTTTCCAAGGAGCACCTGGTGAGCTTGAACCACTGACTTTGCAGTTCAAATGACTTTGCAGTTTGACGTATTAGCCCACAGTGCCACAGGACAACATTAGTGGAAAGGAAATACATACTAGGGTTGGGGAGGATTGTTTTTCATTTTGTATCATGAATATATTAACCTTCTTAACTACTGAATATAGAATTGATAGAATTGAACTTTCAAATCACCTTTTCATTTACCTAAAAGAGGTGCTTCCCTAGGAGCCACAAGTTTATATTGTAAAATAATGAGCTACAGTAAAGAATGATTTGAGAACTGTTCACAAGCAGGAAGCAGATCTCCTTATAAAGATCCCCATCTTCATACTTGATGTTATTAAGTGACTTCAAGTTGTTCTGTCTCATAGCATCCTTGTATAGAGTTTCCAAGGAGCAGCTGGTAGGTTTGAACTGCTAGCATATAAGAAATTAGGAAGCAATGGTTATTGTTTCTGAATAATCTTTCTATTTCAAAATCTAACAGCATATCTGTTTATTGAGGTAATTTGAGGAAAGTCTCATTTGGGTGATACTAAGATTCACAATTAGACAAACAAACAGAGAAAAATAACTTCCCCGGGCACAGACATGAACCTTGCAAAATCCAGCATGTTTTGATTATTTATTTATTGAAATTTCCTTCCCCTAAACCCAGCATGATATTGACAATAAAGAAGATTTTACTTATTTCCTGTGGAATCTCATCTGTCACTTTTAGAGTTGGCCAATAATTCTCAGTTTCTTTAGGGGAACAAAGAGCCAGGATTTAGAGTTATTTTCCCCTTAAACTGCAGTTAATCCAAATGAAGCTGTGCACCCAGCAGGGATCCTTCTGGAGCCAAACAGTTTTCCTGGATATTTGAAACTTAGGACTTCACCCTCACATCTCAACTTTTAGCCCTTGAATTAATTGTAAAGCATTTTCCTGTTGCATCAAACAAACTTTATGCTTGGGTTTTACTTTGCTTTCAGTTTGATTCCCTGTTACTTTCAAAATACAACTTTATATTGCTCACCTGGAAGCTCTAAGCACTGGACTATTACAGGTTTTATATACAAGGGAGTTTCTAAAAGTTCAGGAGAGATAGAATTAAAAGACAATAGAAATTTTTCCTCAAACTCTTTGAAGCCTCCATGTAGAAGACATTTTTTGTGACTTTCCTAGTTCCTCTCTTAGCTCTTGCTTTATCTCCATATGAGAATGACTTGGTTTAGTTGTTCTAGCAACAGAAAGCTTTGGGTCATGAACCAAACTCACCTGATTTTATATATTAATTTTGCAATTTACAACTGTGTAAAGTTAGTTAATATTTCTGAGCTTCACTTTTCAGAAGGATAAGAAGAAACAATATTACCCATTCGTATGATTATTATGAAGATTCAATGAGATTGTGTATGTGAAGTGATTTGTATAGTATCTGACACATAGGAACCACTTACATTAGTTGCTATCCACTGTTGCAAGGACTTGATAAATTACCTTGAGCAGAGACTGGATTATTGCTATGAAAAGATGCCAATCTCAACAAATTTTTATCTACATTCAAATAAATGAATCAATAGACGTTCATGGGTTTATTCTTAAAAGATGCAGTCTTATTTTTGTTGGTTCGAAAGTAGAAAGTAATAACTTTTTTGTGGCAGATATATTAGCTAAAAGGAGATTTGGAAACAGGGGCTGGGCAGGAATAATATATTAGAATGTGATGGCAAAAAAAGAATAATCTTTTTGTTTTGTTTTTCCCCGCACCCCACCAGAGAAACTGTTTACAGTAGATATCTCCCCTGGGTCCCGGATTGCTGCTCAGATTGGGGACACGGTCATGTTGACATGTAGTGTCACAGGATGTGACTCCCCGTCTTTCTCTTGGAGAACCCAGACTGACAGCCCACTCAGTGGGAAGGTGAGAAATGAGGCGACTGAGTCCACGCTGACCCTGAGTCCTGTTAGCTTTGAGAATGAGCACTCTTACCTGTGTACAGTGACCTGTGGACGTAAGAAACTGGAGAAAGAAATCCAGGTGGAGCTTTACTGTAAGTACTTTTCTGAATTATTTATTATTTATTTTTAAGTTCAGCTGGAAATAAGAGAATGAGAGTTTGTAATATGCAGTTTGATCCATGTAATTAGAAAGGGCATTTAGCATTGAATATGATTCCTAGAAGAATCGATGCATGTGAGTTATGGTGTTAGAGATGAATATTACAAGTACCATGGACTATTAGTAGAACAAACAAGTCTGTGTTGGAAGAAGTACAGTCAGAATCCTTCTTAGAAACCAGGATGGCAAGATTTCGTCTCTCATACTTCAGACACATTATCAGGAGGGACCAGTCACTGGAGAAGAACATCTTTCTTGGTAAAGGAAGGGTCAGAGAAAAAGAGGAAGATCCCCAATGAGATAGATTGATTGGCACAGCAGCAGCAACAACGGGCTCAAGTGTAACAACTTTTGTGACAATGCTGCAGGATTGGGCAGTGTTTAGTTCTGTTGTGCATAGGGTTGCTATGATTTAGAACTGACTCTATGGCACCTAACAACAACAGTGTTTCCTTAAGAGGGTAGTGGTGGTTCCTAAGATGATAGGGGTAGAATTCTAAACAACATTCTTATCAACGGAGAAAAGATTGAAGTTGTCAAGGACTTCATTCTTCTTACATCAACTATCAGCACTCACGGAAGCAGCAGTCAAGAAATCCAACGACATATTACATTAGGCAAATCTGCTGCACAAAACCTTTTTAAAGTGTTGAAGAGCAAAGGTGTCAGCTTGAAGACTAAGGTGCACCTGACCCAAGCCATGGTATTTTCAATAAACTCATATGCATGCGCAAGTTGGACAGTGAATAAGGAAGACCATAGAAGAATTGATGCTTTTGAGTTATGGTGTTGGAGGAGAATATTGGGCAGTGTTTTGTTCTGCAGTGCATAAGCTTGTTATGAGTCGGTCCCGACTTGATGGCACCTAACAGCAACAACATCTGGGAGAACTGGTATAATTTGAGTCATTGAGAATTTTAAATTCTCAGAAGAAGTCACATGTGCCACCAACACACACCTGTCAGTGGAAACATGCATATTGGTATCATGATGAGTATACTTCAGCGGAGCTTCTAGACTAAGATGAACTAGGAAGAAAGGCATGCTTTCAAAAAAAAAAATCAATCAATAAAAACCCAATGAATTACAAGGTCTGCTCCCATTGTGCACCATGAATGTGCACCATGAATGTGCACCATGAATGTGGCTCTAAAAATTAAGCCCTGGACTACTAACTGTAAGGTTGGCAGTTCAAACATATGAACCGTTTCTCTGAAACCCTATACAGAACTAACTCCGTGGCACTTAGTAACATCATCATTAAAGTCAAGAACATCTCCAATCAAGGATCAGTGTCTGTTCAGATAGCTGGGGTATGAATTGGGATAAGGCCTAAACCTACTGATTTCTGAAGGCACCCTTGGAAAGCTACAGGAATGAAAAGAATTGAGGCAAGAGGGCACAAGAGAAAACCAAATATGAACATAGAGAGTTAGGTAGGAGTGTGGGGTAGTCAGGTAACAGTGCAGGTGAAAAGCACTGGAGACTATCTCTTCATACTTTTCCTTGCTGTTCTTGTCACTCTCATAAAAATCCTTTACAACCTCAAATCTCTAAGAATTTGACATTGCTCATGTTCTTCAGTTTATAATGATGAGGTACAAAACAGGCAAAGTGACCACAGAGTGATTTCTTTGAGAGGGTTGTTTTGTCTTATTTTTATTCAACAGAGCTCAAGAGAACATATAATGCAGATTTTCCACTAGAAACTCTGCCCAAATTTATGTTACCCATCAGGATTTTGTCCAGAATGACTTAAAGTATGTCTGTGAAGGGATTTGAAAGTCTCAGAAGAAGGGTAAATTTTATTGCCTTATCATATTACCCAGAGCCTAGGATCTGCTGATGTAGGCACATTCCCAACAGAAATGAGAGCCAGCAGTGAAGTCTTACTGCAATATGAAAATATTTGAGAAAGTATCATTTTAACAGCATTTTGCTTAGGGAAATTTCTTTTTTAGCATTGTGCTTGTTCTTGATAACCATGTTAGTCTCATATCTCTTGATTTACATAGGGTATATTATAAATATCATACTTTAAAAACTAAAATTTCTATAGCTCTCTTTTTTTAAAAACCACAAGTACCATTTGAGAAATATTTGTAATATGCTGGCTAAATATGCTCATTAGAAATGAAAATGTTTAAACTGAGAACTTTGCCGTGGGTCTTATCTGATATTAGGAGGCAGCGTGGCTCTGTGAAAGCTAACCTGGGCTCTGAGATCAGAGAAGTATGGGTTCTGATCTCAGCTCAGGAACTTATGATGTGTGATGCAAAATGAGAGTCTTTTATCCTTTATGAATTTTCATTTTTTCCTAGCTGTAAAATAAGTTAACTAATACCAGTTTTGCCAGGCTATTTTGAAGACTGAGATGATGAATAGTCAGGGACTAGCACTGCTAACCATACTCTGTTAACTTTACAAACACTTAAAATACACATGTAGTTACTAAGTAGGATAGTAGAAGCTGACAATTCCTTAGAAAAGATCAGATTATAGCTCTCAGCAAGACTGCATCACTAAGAAGAGTAAAGTAAGAAGTATATTTATTACTAAGGTCCTTGGGTGATTCAAATGGTTTGCACTTGACTGCTGGCCTAAAGGTTGGCAGTTCGAACCCACCCTATGACACTACAAAAGAAAGACTTGGTGATCTTCTTCTGTAAAAAACCCAGCCAAGAAAACCCTATGGAGCAATGCCACTCTATGGGATCAATTCCTATGTCAGTGGGTTTTGGGTTCTTTTGTTTGTTTTCATTTATTAATTGATGAACTAGGCATTTCTTTTGTTTCCAAGCACTATTTATATTTAGTAGCATGTGCATTTCATTTAATGTTACTGCTTATATATTGAGAATTATTTTATTTCAGGTGAGGTAAAGCTGTCATTCTGAAACTTTTATGTTTATTAAAGATTGGTTCCATTTTTCCTTGAATGCTACATCTAAGCACGGATTTTGCTTGATGTTTACAGCATTCCCTAAAGACCCAGAAATTGAGCTGAGTAGTCCTTTAGTGCATGGAAACCCTGTCACTGTCAGCTGCAAGGTTCCTGATGTGTACCCTTTTGACCGGCTGGAGATTGAATTCCTTAAAGGGGAGACCATTATGAAGAATGAAGGCTTTTGGGGGGACATGGATAGACAATCCCTAGGGACCAAGAGTTTGAAAATGACCTTCATCCCTACCACCAAAGACACTGGAAAAGTTCTTGTTTGTCAGGCTAAGTTAAATATTAGTGAACTGGAATTTGAGCCCAAACAAAGACAGAGTATACAGACGCTTTATGTTAATGGTAAGTACTTGTGTGATGTGTCCACGATTTAATATGGATTTCTTTATCATGTTTTCCAGGCTGTAATCAATAGTCAAAACCTCTGTGAAAAAACATAGCTGAAAGGAAATTTCATAATGATGATTGTAACAACCCACTCCCCAAACTTAAAATAATAACCATTTATTTGCTTTTGATTTATGAATAGGCTCTTTAGGAAGGGCCAGCTGGACAGTTCATGTGCTCGATATAGTACCAGTTGAGTTCACTCATGTATTTTCAGTGAGCTGGCAGGTTGACTAGGGGTCGGCTGGTCCCAAATGCCCTTATTCATGTGTTTGTGACCTTAACTTGAGATTTATGGACCTCCCTTTCTCTGTGTGGTGTCTTATCTTCTAGGAAACACACCCAAATTTGTTCACCAGTGTGCAGTATTTGTTTCAAGAGGGTGACAATGTAAGTTGCCTCTTTCATAAGCTTTCATTAGTTTGAAAGCTTGGAGGTCTTGTGGTATTATCACTTCTACCTTTTATTGATTAAAGTAAGTCACAAGATCATCTCAGATTCACCAATAATCAAACCAAACCCACTGCTGTTGAGTTGATTCCGATTTACAGCAACCTTATAGGACAAATTCAGACTGTTCATCAGGCTGTAAATATTTATAGAAGCAGACTGTCTCATCTTTCTCCTGAAGAGCAACTGGTGGGTTCTAACCATCACCTTCTTAATTGGCAACCAAATGCCTAACCCACTGTGCCACTAGGGCACTTCAACCTAGATTCAAGGGTTGGAAATATAGACTTTTGATGAGAGGAGATTAAAATAATCTGTGACCATGTTTCACTTACTCCAATAGCAACACACACACACTGTCTTTGGTAGCAAAGCAGGTTTCCTACAGAATGTAACTTCTATTAGAAAACAGCCATGATGTGTATACTCTCCATCATTCTACTCATGTGAATGGTAAATTAGGACCAGAAACCTCCTTTGGTAAAGTTACCAAGATTTAAAAACTCTTCTAATCTGCTGACCCTTAAACAAGTTTTGCAACATTATTAAAATGCTTTGAAACTCAGAGTTTATGGCATTAAACTAACAGGTGGCTTCACTTTTTTCAGTTGCCCCAAGAGATACAACCATCCTGGCTAGCCCTTCCTCCACCCTGGAGGAAGGTAGTTTTGTGAATTTGACGTGCTTTAGTGATGGCCTTCCAGCTCCGAAGATCCGGTGGAGCAGGCAGCTAAATAATGGGGATCTACAGCCTCTTTCTGAAAGTGCCACTTTCACCATAATGTCTACAAAGGTAGAAGATTCTGGAATTTATGTGTGTGAAGGTACTAACCTGGCTGGAATAAGCAGAAAAGAAATCAAATTAATTATTCAGGGTAAGCAGAGAATGGTTATGAATATTATTGATATTATTACTTTGGTTATAAGCAAAGTTCTCTTTGGAAACAAATTTTTTACCTAAAAAAACCTATTGAATTTGAAGAGCCTGTGTGCTATTTGCTTTGTTTGGAAAGCACCTAAACCTTCTTTTTGATGAACCAATCCAAGTCACTTATCCTGAAATTATTTTCACCTAGCTCCAGGAACTATGCTAGGAGTTTCAGTTACACTTATGACATGGTGATTGTGTTAATTGAAATATCTACTATAGAAGAAGTAGGTGTGTATTTAGAAATAATCTAGGATAAAATCCCTTATCTGGCTCAGGTAGCTATGAGTGGAAATCTCTTTAGGGTTCTGATAGCGTTTGCTTAGAAGCTTACTAGGGCATTTAAACCTTTTGTAAAATCTGAGACTAAGTCTCATTGTTGTTAAATGTTGTCAAGTCAGTTCCAACTCATAGCAACCCTGTATAGGGTTTCCAAAGAGCAGCTGGTGAGTTTGATCTGCTAACCTTGCAGTTCAAACTGACCTTGCAGTTGAGTGCTTATCCTGTGATGCCACACCAGAACTCCTAGAATAAGGTTAGCAGTTGCTATACCTCCTGGTTCATCATCAACAAAGAACCATGAGAGAGTTAAGTCCTGAGCTCAAGATCCCCTCTCTCTAGGATGGAGAGTCATACATGATAGTAAAACTTATCTCCTAGTTGACAGGTTGAGGCCATAGCCACCTATGGGTAAAACCATGAAGTGGTCAATTTGGATTTGTCATGATGCTTGATCTGGGGGATCAAAAACATTTTCTTCACCAGAAATGCCATTTCCTTTCATATCCCCTGGTATTATTCCCAATGAGGTATTAGTGAGTTTCTTGTTACCTTAGTTCAATGCTAGTCATGTTTGAAAGGATGAGTCTTTGAAGGGCAATGGACAAACTTAAAGAGAATTCTCAGGATGGATACTATGGTACTGTGACCCTGGATGAGAAAAATGTCTCAAGTCAAATCACAAGATAGATAATTATATTAGGAATCTCACTATGGACTGGTGACCTGGCACTTCCCTACAGTATCAACGGAGATGTTATGTATCACGAGCTAGCCCAGTGCTTGGCAGTTAGTAAACAGTAGTTGTGGTTGTTAAGAACAGTAAGAAAACCATCTCTGTGCTTCCTAATTTCTTCATCTGGGAGGATCTAACTCAAAATTCAGAAGTCTATAAAGGACTTGGGACTGTAATGAAAAAAAATTTTTTTTTGCAGAACTATGTAACAAAAAGCCTGATTTTGTTCTTCACATTTAAATTTCTATAGTAATTTATTTAGCACTAATTTTTGTTTGTATTAGTCTGACTGAAGAGATATGAGAGATACACAAGACATATCTGTCTTGTGTTAAAGACTGTCATCTGCAGCAGTCCCACAGATACTTGGCTTTTGAACGTGTCCTTCTAAACTTGTAATGTAAACAATATAAATAAACACAAATGAGCTCCTAGGCAGCTATAGTCATTAAATTAATATGGAATTGGTTTATATTTCACTCAATCAGCCGTGACTTTTAAATTATTCTTACAGCTGCACCAAAAGACATACAACTTACAGTTTTTCCTTCTGAAAGTGTCAAGGAAGGAGACACAGTCACTATTTCCTGTACATGTGGAAATGTTACAGAAACGTGGATAATCCTGAAGAAGAAAGCAGAGACAGGAGACAAGACACTGAAATCTATAGATGGCACATACATCATACGTGGAGCTCAGTTAGAGGATGCGGGGGTGTATGAATGTGAATCTAAAAATGAGGTTGGCTCTCAATTAAGAAGCTTAACACTTGATGTTAAAGGTTAGTTCATTTCCTTAGCGTTTTGGTGAATTATAAATAATTCGTAGGATTTGTTGAATGACTTCCCCAAAATAAACCTGAATTGCAGGTTGATTATGGTTACTTTTAAATGTTTCCTAAAACAATGAAGCGCATCTGTTGTGGCCTACAGAGTTTAGCCAGGAAGTTGACATTAATCATTGGTGGATGTGAAATTGCTATTTGCTTTCCTTAAAATTGACCATGCATCATTGGTTGCTGGGGTCTTGAATTTGCTAAGTGGTTAACCATATTTTTTAAATCTTCCCTGGAGGATATGAGGAAATGAAAGAAGTAATAGGAATCCCTGGGTGGTGCAATCAGTTAAGCCCTTGACTACTAGTCAAAATATTGGTGATTCAAACATACTCAGAAGACCAAAAGACCAGCCAGTCAATCTGTTTCCAAAAGGTCACACAGTTTTAAGAACCCTAAGGATTCTATCTGGACATTCCAGAACGGAATGAACATGGAGTGACTATTTTCTAGATTAACACTTTTTAAGGATAATAAATGATCTGGGGTGGAACTCTTGATCTTGAACAACATAAATGACAGAAGAAATCCTTGAGTGGTACAGATGGTTAGCATGTTCAGCTGCTAACCAAAAGACTAGAGGTTTGAGTCTATCCAGATGTTCCTCAGAAGAAAGGCCTGGTAACCTACTTAAAAAAAAAATCAGTCACTGAAAACCTATATGGAACATCGTTCTACTCTTATACACACGGAGTTGCCATGAGTTAGAGGTGACTGATGGCAACTAGTTTAAAATGCAGAAAAACAAGCCAATTCCTGTAGAATTGACTCTGTTATCATGTGTGTCCCTTAATTTACTAAACTATTCTGTGGATGAGAAAAAAGGATCTGCTGATCTTATTAAAATAAGCAGAATATGTCAAACTTTATCCATCTCTCTCCATCCTTGCATACAAATGAGTTCCAATTGTGTATTGGAAGCCAACTTGGCCCTGGAGTTAACAGTACTGTATATAAATACCAGCTCTTAAGAACTTCAGGTATCTGGCTATCAGAGTTAACAATCACCTATCAATGTAGACAAAATTTGAGGCTAGGAGAAAATTTTACTCATATGTCCCAATATTTCAGGATTGCAAGCCTTGCTGTATTTTTCTGTCTTCATAGTACCTCCCTGAACTATAATATCAATACATTCATCAAGACACGTTAAAGGGACATTATCACGATTACATGTAAAACTTTTAGTCAACCACCTGCAGTGATGATCTTGGAAAGAGTTGATCTGGCTAATGAAGTTACTATGTATTTAAAGAATAGAACCTTTACGTTCGTTCTACCATATCACTCAAAATGACAAAAGAGTATATGTAATCAGCATTTCCAGTGAGCTTGGGGATGATTCCGGGTGGATTGAGATTTCAGTTATGAGTAGGTTACAACTCATTCATTCCTATTTTCTGTAATCCTTGGTACCTAAGTTTTGGTGAGCTGTTGAGTTGATTCCTACTTACAGTGACCCTATATGATAGAGTAGAACTGCCTCATAGGGTTTCCTAGGTTGAAATCTTTATCCAAAGCAGATGGTCAGATCTTTTCTTCTATGGAACCACTAGTGGGTTGAATTGTTGACCTTTCAGTTAGCTCTTAACTATTTCATCTCCAGGGCTCTTGTTAAATGTAATCTCTGTAAAAATTTCTGGGTCTCTTCTGTTGAGCTGCTGAGTGCATTCAAACTATCTGAGCACTTAACCATTGTACTACCAGGGCTTTATTGTATGTCCTTGTTGTTGTTAAGTGTCGTTGAGTCAGTTCCGACTTATAGTGACCCTGTATAGTGTGTAAAAGGAGCGACTGGTGGGTTTGAACCACCAACCTGTAGTTAGCAGTCCAGTGCTTATCCTACAGCACCACACCTGGACTCCATCATATACTCTTAGTGAAATGTAATGCTTGTGATGTCCTATGATGATGTGTAAACATAAATATATAAGCATTATTTATACTGTGGATCTCCTAGGAGACCTGGTGCAGCGCTGTGGGTTAATGCGCTGGACTGCAAAGTCAGTTTGACTCACAAGGTCGGTGGTTCAAGCTCACCAGCTACTCCTTGGAAACTCTATACAAGGTTGCTATGTGTCAGAACTGACTCAATGGCACATAGCAACAACAATAGTTTGCACCTTCAGCAAATGCCATGTTCTTACAAGGTTTTTTCTTCAGATACTCTTACAAGGTTTAAAGCCCCCAAACCTATCCCCCCTGCCATTCAGTCAATTCCAACTCATAACTACCTTATAAGGCAGAGCAGAACTGCTCCTCAAGGGTTTCTGAATCTGCAAATCTTTACGACAACAGATAGTCTCATTTTCCTTCCAAGGAGCAGCTGGTGAGTTTGAACTTCTGACTTTGCAGTTAGTAGCCCAATGTGTAACCTACTGTACCAACCTTCTACTAAGGTTAGGATATTAAATGGTATTGTAGCTGTCAGATTCTTTTTAATAGAGTACTAATTATAAAGTTTTTGTCATCTGTACTCAATTTGCAACTAAATTGCAAATGCCTGGATATAAAAAGAAGATAAATGTATTATTTTTTTAAGTATTCATAAGGTGTCAGCTATACCAAACAGTGACCCAGATGCTGAATTTTTAGTGGTGGACAAAAAAAAAAAGAAAGAAAGAAAATAGATGTACAAGCCCCTACAGTCTAAAGGAGAAAATCAAAGTTAATAAATAATCATACAAAGAAATGTTTGATTCCAAATTGTGATCATGGTTATAAAAAGGGAGAGTAGAGTGGTTATGAAAGTGGGCTGGGGTTTCTATCCAAAGAACAGTTTATCAAGAAATGGTATGAGAGATGAAGAGGAATAACATATAGTAGGATGCCCTACTTTAGATATATATATATATACCTCTGAAAAAGCCATAGACAATAAGTCTTTCCTTTTATCTTATGTGGTATTTAGCTATACTGCTTGGATGTCTCTGGGTGGTGAAATCAGTTTGCACTTAATTATTAAACTAAAGATTGGCAGTTTGAATCATCTTTACCAGTATCGGCTTCTATAAAGATTGCAGCCAAGAAAATGCTATGGAGCAATTCTCCTTTATAACACATGAGGCCCAGTCCATTCAAGGGAAGATATTTGTTATTTGTTTTAATACTGGTTGTACTCTAAATGTTACAAAGGTTTACTTGGAGCTAGTCTTTTCAATTCATGGTGATCAGCAAACACCACAGTTCTGTAGTAGATACTTCTGTTTCCCAAAACAAAATATCTTCCCCCAATTCGTATGCTTGTAAGTGAGTCCTGAAAAGTTACATTCACTCTACATCTGAACCTAAATCTAACTGAATCCAAGGTCATGAAAATCAGTATGTCTCATTTTCAGGCCTATCACAACCTTAAGCAAATGCCAGGTGATTATTTAGATAATTGAGAGAAATTTGCAGTTTGGGTCTGATGGTCTTTTTCACTGCTTCAGTTCACTTCACTGGGGAGAACTAGTTGTACTGTTACAATAGAACATTTCACTATTATTATTAAACTGTTTCATTTTGTACTAGACATTAATTGTATCCATTTCCTTATTTTCCAGGAAGAGAAAATAATGACTATTTTTCTCCTGAACTTCTTGTGCTCTATTGTGCATCCTCCTTAATTGTACCAGCCATTGGAATGATCATTTACTTTGCAAGAAAAGCCAATATGAAAGGGTCCTACAGTCTGGTAGAAGCACAGAAATCAAAAGTGTAGCTAATGCTTGAAATGCTCAACCTGAGACAGTATTTATCAGTCCAAATCCTTAACATTCTTCTTCATTCCATGGAAAAAACAACTAGCTGAGAGTTCAGACTTTCTTGAATTTAGTGGACTTGTGGGAGAAAATGGCCACCTGTGCCCCTTGCTGGGAGCAGAAAGCCAAAGGAAAACTTTCTACCTGAAAAATTAGGCACTGCCATTGAGAAATGATGATTGTAGCAGTTCCTTGATGTGTATATACAATAACATACCCTGTAAATATGTAAAATAAAACTATTCCATAGAAACGTTGCTTGGAATAGCAGCGAGGTCTCCAAATAATCCAACTGTGTTGCTTCAATTAGTGGTTATAACTTAATGCATCTTTGAAAAATTTCATATTAATGTTGACTGGCAGCTAACCTGTGTCATCTTTTTTGTATTTTGTTTCCAATGACAAAATTTTATTCATGTAAAGTTCATTGGCAATGACTTTCTGTTTTGTAAAAATGTCACAGTTTTTTATTTTTATAGGAAATGTTAAACTAAGAGGGCACTGAGTTAACTTTCAGGTACTAAACACCTCAACCTATAATGGTATGATGGTTGGCTGGATTTCTCTGTGGTACTGACATGGTACGGAGATGTTTTGTGATGTTGCTTGCTCATGAGACTCCTGTGTAACTTTCCTAATGTAGTCTAAAGATGCAACTTCTCTTGATTTTCTTTTGTAAATGTTTAGATTTTTGGATAGTAAAGTAATACCTTTTGAAATGAAAGACTTGTGTATGTTTTTTGCTTGTCTCCTTTAATCACATTGCAGTACTTTTTGAATGCCAAGTTTTAGCACTGTTGCACCAAAAAAACAATAGTAGTAATAAAGTAATTAGAATTACTATGGAAACTGGATAAAAAGCCTGATTTCTGGGTGCCATCCTAACTTACTGAATTGGGTTATTTTTTTTTTTAGTTTTTCAAATCTACAATTTAAAAAATTTCAATATAGCATACATAAAAACAGTGACTATAGATGAACCTGCACATATTAAAAAAATAATAAACAAATACCTATGCACATACCACCCAAACCAAGAAATATAGCACTGATATATATAGCCTCTTCTATGCCATTCACTGATCACAGTTCCCCCGTTTCACTGAACAATAACCAATTTATTGGCCATTGCCTTTTTTTCCTATTTGGAGTTTTTATGTATTTGTGGTGGTTGTTGTGGGCCATCTAGTTGACTCCAACTCATTGTGACCTTATATGACAGAGCAGAACTGCCACCTAGGGTTACCTAGGCTGTAGTCTTTATGGGAGCAGATGGCCAGATGTTTACTCCCGTGGAGCTAGGCACATTCTATCCACCCACCTTTCAGTTCAAAGTCGAGTACTTAACCATTGTGCCACTAGGGCTCTAATTGTTGTTGTCAAGTGCCATCGAGTCGGAAGCGACTCATAGCGACCCCATGCACAGCAGAACAAAACAATGTCCGATCCTGGGCCAACCTCACTACCGCTGCCACACTTGAGTCCATCAATGATGCCACCTGGCCAATACATCTCGTTAGGGGTCTTCCTCTTTTTCTCTGACCCTCCATCTTACCCAGCATGACATCCTTTTCCAGCGACTGTTCCCTCCTGAAAATATGTCCAAAGTATGAGAGACGAAGCTTAGCCATCCTGGCCTCCAAGGAGCACTCTGGCTGCACTTCTTCCAAAATAGATCTATTGGTTCTTTTGGCAGTCAATGGCACTTTTAGTATTCTCCTACAACACCACAACTCAAAGGCATCAATTCTGCTATGATCTTCCTTACTCAGTGTCCAGCTTTCGCATCCATAAGAGGTTATTGAAAATACCATGGCTTAGGTCAGGCACAACTTAGTCCTCAAGCTGACATCTCTGCTCTTCAACACTTTAAAAAGTTCCTGTGCAGCAGATTTGCCCAATGCAATATGTCATCTGATCTCTTGACTACTGCTTCCATGAGTGTTGATAGCTGATCCAAGAAGAATGAAGTCTTTGACAACTTCAATCTTTTCTCCATTGATAAGAATGTTGTTTATTGGTCCAGTGGTAAGGATTTTTGTTTTCCTGACATTGAGATGCAACCCATACCGAAGGCTGTGGTCTTTGATCTTCATCAGTAAATGTTTCAAGTCCTCTTCACTTTCAGCAAGCAAGGTTGTATCATCTGCATATCGCAGGTTGTTAATGAGTCTTCCTCCAATCCTTACACCGTGTTTTTCTTCATAGCCCAAAATAGTGCATTATTTAGTTTGCCAGCTTTCATGTTGTTAGATGCTGTCCAGTTGGTTCCGACTCTATGTAGAATGAAACATAGTATACTATGTTCTGTTGGCACTGTCTGACCCTGTGCTATTCTCACATTGTTTTGTTTGAGCACATCATTGTAGTCACTGTGTTAGTGCATCTCATCGAGGCTCTTCCTCTTGTTAACTGACCTTCTATTTTACCAAGCATGATGTCCTTCTTCAGAGACTGGCCCCACTTGACAATATGTCCAATGCACATTTGATGAAGTCTCACCATCTTCACTTCAAAGAATCATTCTGACTGTACTTCTTCAAAGGCAGATTGGTTGTTATTCTGGCAATGTGTAGTATAGTCAATATTCTTCAACAACCCATAACTTTAAGGCATCGATTCTTCTTTGGTCTTTCTTATTCATTGTCCAACTTTAACATGCATCTGAGGCAATTGAAAATACCATGGTATGGGTCAGGTGTACATTAGTCCTCAAAATGACTAAAACCAATGAATAGGTTTTTAAAAAATCATGGTTTTCTCCTTCTTGTAATCATTAGCATCAAAATTTCCAGTGTGGGTAAATGATGTAGGGGGAAAGAAATAGAAATCAAACTTGTTTATAGATAAAATAAAAGGTATACAGGTCCACAAAAATTTCTTTGTGAAATGCAGGTTCAAATAATTGTATAACAAAAATTTTTGTCTTTTTTCAAAAAATCCCCAAAATGTCTCTTCCACTCTGCTAATTGCACATGTTGGGGAAATGCTACTACCAAGCATCATTAGGCAAAGTTATATGAAGGTGAGTCAAAAACGATTTGCACTCTGGTTAAATTAAAATGCTCAATCACATCCATGGCTGATGACAACATTGAGCGTGCACATAAAATGATTCTGTTTAATAGACAAATGGACACAGGATTATGTGGCAAATCAACCATGGTTCCACCTATGAAATAATCCATGACAGACTTGGGTTTCAAAAAGTTTGTGCAAGATGGATATAAAAACAACTCATGGAAGAGAGAAACAGAAGCATTTGGGCAACTGCAAAAATTTTTTTTGAACCTACACGCAAAGGAAGGCAAAAGTTTATTTAAAAAAAAAAAAAAAGTCACTGGTGACAAGACATGGATTCATCACTATGAGTCTGAGGGTCAACATCAGAGTATGGAGTGGAAACATCCTCAATCGCTGACCAAGAAAAAACTCAAAAGTCAACCATCAGCTGGCAGATTTATACTTATAGTTTTCAGAGATTGTCAAGGGCTGATCTTGGAACACTATCAGGAAAAAGGTTCAGCAATCAGCAGTGTTCATTACAGTAAGATGGTCATTGAGGAGCTGAAGCCTAAATTGTGGATTAAACTCAAAGAAATACTATCTAAGGGCAATGTGATCTTGCATGAAAAACAGTAAGCATCTGCACACCTCTGCCCACACTGTTAACATTCTGCAAAAACTTCCTTTTTACGTGGTAAAGCATCCTCCCTATAGTCCCGATCTTGCTGCATTGGACTTTCACCTGTTTGCTCACCAGAAAGCAGCCCTTTGAAGACAAAGATGCACCTCTGATGAAGAAGTGAAGACAGTAGTGCATTTGTGGCTTGCAGCTCAGCCTAAAACATTTTTTAATAAGGAAATACAAAAGCTGGACAAAATGTAATGAAAGTCACGGAGATTATGTCAAAAAATGATTCATGTTTTCTAAAAGTTGATTAGAATAAATTCTACAACCAGAGTGCAAAAACTTAATGATTCACCCTCCTAGTTTGTATCAATCATCTTTTGTGTTAAAGTGCTTCAATTTTCTTATATATAAACAGAAAGATTTCAAATAGTGAAATGTTAAGGTTCTTTCAACTCTCAAGCACAATGGTTCTATGAAAATTTGCACATCTGTCTTGAGTGCTTTATTATTATTTAGTTTAGTGAAAGGAGCCCTGGTAGCATAGTGGGTTATGAGTTGTGCTGCTAACTGCAAGATCAGCAGTTCAAATCTACCATCTGCTCCTCAGGAGAAAGATGAAACTTTCTGCTCCCATAAAGATTTGCAGCCTCTGAAACTCTATACAGGTCATTATGAGTCAGAATCAACTCAACAATGACTACTATTCTAGAGAATCTTTTTGTGTTTAGCCAAACAAAAGTCTAAGGATTTTTATTATTATCTCTTATCTAATCAATGTTAACTGTGTTTTGAGAAGAAAAATAAGACCATTTAATCATAAATTAATCCCAACATTAGCAAGTAAGAGTTTCATAATAATTCTTTCTTATAGAGAGGAAAGGGACACTGTAAAATGCCAATTATTTTAACTATGCATAAACTATGCATTAAAAAAGTGTGTGGAGTGACTTTTCAGGCTTTGTTGCTATTCACTAATATGGTTTCTCAAAAGCAATTAAACTGTAAGACTTATTTGAGAATAATGTATGAATTAAATGGAACTGAATACCTAGTTTTTTTTGTGAAGGACTATTCTATTGAGAGACAGTATTTTATTGTTGTATGTTCTATATTCATTGGCAGAGACTTTGCGGGCATTGCAGGGCAGCAAACCAAGTAGACTCAATAATGAAAAATGTAATTTTTCACATTGAAAAGAGTAAGGAGAAGACATTGACTTTGTTGGAGAGGAGGAGGCATGGTGAATCACTCCTAATCTGAATTGTACTGTAAAGACTTTCAAGTGAAAAGTTTCAGTCCATGTCAAAGAAGTTTCTTATCACAATT